TAAAGCCGTCGAAGCTGGTGTTTTCCGCGGCGGTGAAGAAGCAGAGCTACGCCGTGACAGTGTCAGCCGACAGCCAGAATCTGGCACTGGGCGACGCCGGTGCTGTATTTGGCTGGCTTTCTTGGTCCGATGGAAAGCATGTGGTCCGCAGCCCACTCGTAGTGACCCAAATAGAACCGTTGTAAAGGTCAAAATTAAGCAAAAAGAGAACAGCTTGGAATTCGATCATCCCCTTATGATCGATGATGCAAACCTTTGTGTTTTTTACAAGGGCCAAGTTTGAACTTTGAAATGTTCCCTTTCTTTTTTCTTTTTTTTACAGTTTTCTTTTTGTTCTTCCCAAACTAGAAGCCTTATCAACTTAGCGTCATATGTTGTTGTGTACTGCACTGTAATTCTTAGAATTTGAGATATTTATATAAATCTCAGTAAGTTATGGGTTTCAGAACCATTTCCTTTCTCATTGAACTGTCTTAACTATTAGCCGCAAGTCCAATAGCGTAGTTTTGAGTCGGGACTTTTAACAAACACCTAAGGGGCACGTAGGCATATATGGTGTCATGTCAGGGGACCATGAAAGGAAAAGGAGAAGTTGATGTCAATAATTTTGGGTTTGGAGTCTATTTGTCTTAAATTGGATAGGCCCATCTGGGGGGTTTTGAATTTGACTGATTTTGATAGGGAACAGAAGAAGCAATGGTTTGATTTGCACTCCCAAGAAGACATGTGTGTGACAGTGGCATGGCCAGGCTATGGCTATGGCTGTGGTTCAAAATTGCAATTAATGCTCCAAAATGGCATAGTCTCTTCCAATATGTTGAATTTTGACAAAAGAAAAAATGGGTTCAAAGCAAACAAGCTCTTTTACAGAACTCTTGCATATTAGAACCTTTTGCTTTGGGATATAGGTCCAAATTTCCTTCCTTTATATGTTATGTACTATTCAAAATTGAAGTGGCAATGTTTGTGCATAATAGTGGGCAGCCACTTGGGAAATTAAAGTAAGTGGGTGAAAATGTAGATATTACCACAGAGTAAACCATTTAATCAGAAATTTATGTAACTTAATCACTTGATTAATTTATGAAATTTTCAAGTTGAATTTTAATAACAGAAGAATGAATTTCGACCGATTAAGGTGGGTTTGGTATGTATCACATTCAATACTTACAATAATGAAAAAGCTAGTGAAGCACATTGGAATAAATCTAACATGAATGGTAAATAGTATCTTTGCACTGTAATTGTAGGTAAAATACCAGATTATTGTTATTATTATTTTTTTGTTAGTATTAACTTTGATGATGAATAAAAATAGTTTAAGCATCCAACACGAGTATAGTTCTACAACAAAGACATATAACTCTTTTCTTGAAGTCGAATGTTTAAATTCATGGCAATTGGCTTTAAAGTCTAAAGGTATAAGCTTTCGATGGAAGCGTTAGGCAAATCTATAACAAAACACAGATTGAGCAGCAGATACAAAAAAAGGTAAAATAGCCTATTATACTCTAACCTAGTATTAATAGCCTAGTATAATAGGTTAGCTCGAATGTATACTATACATTGTGGATCAAAAGCAAAAAAAATGCGGATATAGTTTCACTTGGATTATGAATGCAATTAACTTTCAATATCATACGAATATGAGGCATTATATATATCAATTAAGAAAAGTCGAGAGAATCTGTGCACTTTTCTTTTTCATCTAATTTATTCGTTGAGAATTCTATAGTTAAAGCATGTTTAACAAAAACAGACTTAAGATTAGTCGAGTTCCCTGTTTTAAGAAACATGTGAGTGAAAATAAAACAAAAGTTGGCTCGTTAAGACAATCTTCAATCTCAAAATATTACATAACATGTCTAAATTGTAAACTACAAATGTCTAAGTCTAAATTATAAATCTCGGGTATTTTCAATTTTTCAGTAGATAAATGAGTTTAGTAACCTCTTTAATTTTGTATTACCAAAAACTTTGGACCTATTTGCAAGGGAATTAATGGATCATATTGGCTTTGGGATTGTCACATGGACTAATATATCTCTTTGGATTCACTTTAATCAAGTAATAAAGAAACTCAGATTCTCTCTACTTCCCAACAGCCAATTGTGTACCATACAACTTCATTAACATTTTATTAAATAAATCCCACTTCCCTACCAACAACAATAATCCCCTCTTCTCTACACCATAATTAATCAGTGGATTCAGTACTCATCTCTAATTTTAATATTTCTTTTGCTTTAAGCCATATACTTATTTTGAATTATTTTGTTTTGTATAGAATTATGAAGATACTAATTTTTAGTGATAAATAGTAAAATAATAATAATGATAATATGAGTGGAAGTCTAGTATCCCACCAGGGGTGAAGTGAGTGGACATCTGGGGTGGAAAACCATTTCTTAACAATGGCGATGATCAAATGGACTAATTATGGGTGTTTATTATCTCTTTACCTCCTTAATTTTATCATTAAATCACTCTAATGGGTCACAAAAATAACTTCCATCTGTTTTTAATTAATGGGTTTTATAAAAAGATTCAAACTTTATTACAAAATAAAAAGAAACCATGAATGAGTTCATCTAGTTAATGTATTTATCTTTCGTCAAAATGTCGAAGTTTGAATCTCTATTCTTAGCGATAATGTTTAGGGGTGAGCCTAAGGACACAAAAAACTGAACCGATTGATAGAAACGGACTAAAGATATGTCAGTCGGTCGATTTTTGTGATTGGTAGTTCGATGTCGGTTCTGAAAACTCAAAACCGACAAGTTAGTTGGTCAGCGGTCATGAATCCATCGAATACCGACCAACCGAATTATAATTAAAAAAACAAGTTACATTTTATATTATTATTTTACAATTATACTAAATAGGTTAGTGTTTATTTTAACCCTCTCCAACTCTCTGCTCTCTCAGACTCGCATGCCGCCCCTCCCTCACGCAAGATCGCTCTTTCTCAGTTTTCTCACCCTGCCACAACACGACGTCGCATTACGCACGTCCGTCGTCCCTTGCACGAAAGATTTACTGTCAATTTAACCAACAAACGGATCGATCGAACTGTCTAGTCTATCAATCGGTGGACAGTAAACCAACAAAACCGACAACGTCGATTTTCGACTGCGGAATCAACCAAAAACCGACATCGACCGACCCCAGTAATGTTCCAAAAATATGGTGTATAGCTGATGCAAATTGGGCTTTGTACACTAGAAGGCCTCAGATCGACAGAGATTTGGAAGAATGGGCCTCTCTTACTTTCTCTACCTTCATATACTAAAAGCCCTTTGAATAAGTCATGGAAGCAGCAAAATATTCACAAAAACAAAAAAAAAAAGATTCAAACTTGAGTAAGTTTCAGTAAAAAATCAGAGCTCTTTCTATTCCTCTAGACAAAATAACGAAGACACCAACCAATAAGTTTCTATACAGAAAAAGAAAAGAAAAAGTTCGTTTGTTAAGAAAGTTCCATTCAACTCTCACAATAGACAAACACCAAAACCCATAAAAACTCAATAATAAGCAATGTAACAAGGCGGATAACAAGCTCGAAGGCCATAAGGAATCTGCCCAAACATCAGATTCTGATACAGCTTAATCTTCGCATGGAGTTTGATCCTGAGGCCATACAGAAACCCATCACAGACCTCTGAACCAAGCTCGAATTGATTCTTCATCTTCGCATACAACGAAGCCGTCAGCAAGCTGTCTGAGCCAGCGTGGTGCTTGTTTCCAAAGCGCTTCTGGTTCATCAATTGGGCAAGTTTCTCAAGCCCAAGTTTCCCATCTTCCAGCCCTTCGCAGAACTGCGCCATATGCTTCAAATCACTCACATTCCCCAGTGCCCTCTCCACCAGCTCTGCAAATTCCTCCATTGATTCCGGTATCTCCCCGGCCACCCCCATCGCCTTCAGCAGATACCCAATGTCGTACAAGCCGTGGAACGTGACCCATCGAACAATCCGATGCTTTCGGAAGAGAAAAAAGGCTTTGGAAGTGAATTCGTTGATGGGGATTCCGAATTCCTTCAGTTTATCAAAATCCAAGCCGTTCTGTTTCAGGAAGGAGACAGAGGAGGCGTTGTGGGTGTCGATTTGGGGGTCGAAATCGGAGAAATTGAACTCCCATGTGCTACCAATATTGCCGATTTCATCAGACGCCGTGAGACCCAGTTGGATGAGCTTAGTCCGATTCACATTGAATCGAAAATCGTCGTAGAGTTTTTCTTCAATGGCGCCCCATGGAGTACTCCGAATAAACCCAGGAAATTCTGTGTCGATGGTCAGAATCGGGTAGAGATTTAGACAGTCATTCAAATTCGCGAGTTCCAAATCGAAATTTCGAGACCAAACTTCTCGAATCTGAGCGTTTCCTCTTCTCGAATGCCCTCGCTTTCCTCTGCCCATCTTCGAATTCCAGACAGAAAATTGCTCTGTTTCTTCTTCTTGTTCTTGTACTGGAATTTCGTAGAAGGAAACAGGGAAGGGGTGCGATACTTGATCTACAAGTTTCTGATCTTATTAATGGAAGGAATCGGTTTGAAGATACGATTTTCCTTATCTAAGCGGGAACGGAGAAGTTTTTTTTTTCCCTAGGAAATTAATGAGAGTGGTGAAGTTGGGCCGAGTTTTTTCCTTTTGTGATCATGATTTAATTTTGAGGGGAAAATAATAAAATAAAATATATTAATTAGAGAATTGCCCTGAAAAATCATTTATTTATGCTTTCCCTCAAAGTTGGAAGTGTATTTGAACGCTCAAAACTTGTGTCAAAAAAATAAAAGATAAAAGGGGGTAAAAAAAGATTATTACTTGAATTTTTTTTAAGATTGATTTAATTTGAACTCAATATTGTGATTCTACTCGGTTTTGTAAAGTATTTGAATGGAAATCTCTAATTGAGGGCTTTTAATTTGAATTATATTTTGTGAAAACATTTGCAATTCTACAAGTTTAGCATTTTTTTTGTGTTTAGAACTATTTTCTATAAATTGTAAAAGTAATTTCAAGGAAAGGTGCACTAAAAAAAGTTAAGAAAAGGTAAAATATATAATCTAATCTCTCACTCTTTTGGCAACTAACTTTTTTTTTTTTTGTGGCCGTGACAAAATTGGATGCACCACCCAATAATTTTGTCTCTAATCACCTATAATTTGTTTGATTTTATCTCTACTGTTCTTCAAGTTTGAATTTCATCCATTGTGTGAATATTTTTCAATTAATTTTATAAATGATTAACAATTAGTGAAATTTATAATAGGTTTATTAACGAATAATGATAAACAAAAGTTAGCTAGTCGAGACTATATAATAAATTATTTTTAAATCAAACATTAAGTTTTACTTTTTGTTTTTATTTGGCAGAATTTAATTTTTATTTGGCAGAGTAATTTTTGCCGAAAAAGGAAAAAAGCAAAAGACAACTTTACAGTAGTTTTACGCGGCGATGTCTGAGCGTGCCACGCGTGTGCAGCCGCTTCGTTTGAAAGCTAACCGACACGCTCTCCCTTTCCTTTCCTTCGTCCTGACGATTTTCTTCCTTTAAAAATCTCTGCAACTCTTTTCCTCCACTTCTCAATCAATTCTTCATTCCGATCAAACTCAAAAACCCCTTCGGAATTCATCCATGTCTTCTTCCAATCAAAAACCCACTTCTTCTCTGTATCCCTCCGTCGACATGAAAGACCTCGCCGGTGATCTCTTTCCCGACGAAGACCCTCCTGTTTCCGGTCAGAAAAGCCCCGAGTCCTCTGAAGAAGTCCTCGTCAAGATTCCGGGCTCAATAGTCCATCTGATCGAAAGGGAAAACAGCGTTGAACTCGCTTCCGGCGAGTTCTCCATAGTCGGTCTCAGGCAGGGGAACAACATCGTCGCCGTACTCGCTCGTGTAGGGAACGAGATTCAGTGGCCATTAGCGAAAGACGAAGCCGCAGTGAAGCTCGACGATTCGCACTACTTCTTCAGTCTCGGCGTTCCCCCAAATGGGTCATCGGAAAACAACGATTCAGCCGTCAATCGAGAGCCCGAGATGTTGAATTACGGCCTGACCATCGCGTCCAAGGGTCAGGAGGATCGATTGAAGCAACTGGATCAGATTCTGGATAAGTACAGTAGTTTTTCGGTGCAGAAGGTGGAGAAATCGGGGAAATGGGAGGTCCTCGACGGGTCAATGGCGAGGGAAATTTCGCCGGAGGATCTGGCGGCGTCGGAGGAGAAGAGGGAGCTCATGGAGGAGAGATCGGCTGCTTATTGGACGACATTGGCGCCGAACGTGGACGATTACAGCGGAAAGATCGCGAGGCTGATTGCGGCCGGCTCCGGACAGGTGATTAAGGGCATTCTCTGGTGTGGGGATGTGACTGTGGATAGGTTAAATTGGGGCAACGAATTTCTGAAGAAGAGGATGGGGCCTCGTTCTGATGCGGAGATCAGTCCAGCCGCCATGAACAGTATAAAGAGGTTTGCAAATTGCAATTGCAATTGCATTCGCCCCTTTCATTTTCAGTACAAAAAATGATGAACCAATATAATTATGGTCTTGTGTTTGTGTTTCAGTGTGAAGAAGCTAACAAAGATGACAGAGAAAGTGGCGACTGGAATACTTTCAGGGGTGGTGAAAGTTTCTGGGTTTTTCACAAGTTCAATAGTGAACTCTAAAGTGGGGAAGAAGTTCTTCAGTCTCCTCCCTGGAGAAATTGTCCTTGCTTCATTGGATGGATTCAGTAAGCTCTTCATCTCCCACCTCTTTCTTTCCTCTGCCAATTTGTGACTTTAATTATACTACTGTTATTATATGTTTGACATTGCAAATCTCATTGACATAACTGCTATTTGATTGAAGTAGTAGATGATACAGTAACATCTAGAGAGAACTCTAGTAACTTCTTGCAATTGGCAACTTGGTTGTTGTGGGATTGGTGCTTAAGCTGTTAGTTTTAGTTGGTTTTAAGAATTTACCTGCAGATAATGGCCTCAAGATATCGTATAAACATATATAGGGTCGGTTTTGGGTCATGTTTTGGGCTAAAACCAACTCTCAGTTCAGGAAAAGTTGGAAATAGACTTGAACCAATTACATTGACTACAAAAGCAACTGATATGAAACCCGATTGAGGTCTGTTCAATGCCAAATTTAGATAGAATTGAAAGAGCAACTCATAGTTAATCAAAACCAAATCCAAACCAACCTGGTTCGATCTTTTACGGTTTGCATTTTGATTAGATTATGTCTTAAAACAGACAGTCTAATGTTTTACTTACGTATAAAATTTGTGGAAATGGACGTACAGACAAGGTTTGTGATGCAGTTGAAGTAGCAGGAAGGAATGTAATGTCAACCACATCCGTTGTGACTACTGGACTCGTTTCAGACAGGTATGGCTCTGCCTCTATACCCTTCGAGCAATACTGATGTTATCTTTTAGTTTGGGGATAAGGGTATTTCGCCCGAATGAATTAGTCGTGCCCTCAGTTGGGAACACATACTAGGGCATATGTGCTACTCGTTTGAGCCATGGACCAACAATAGGCTCTGCCACCCTAAATAGGCATAGGGATAACCCGGATAAGGGTATTTCGCTTGAATGAATTATTTGTGCCAGGATGGCTCTGCCTCTATACCCTTTGAGCAATACGATGTTATCTTTTAGTTTGGGGATAAGGGTATCTCGCCCGAATGAATTAGTTGTGCCCTCAGCGTTGGGAACACATACTAGTGCATATGTGTGACTCGTTCAGGCCATGGACCAACTATAGCCTCTGCCACCCTAAATAGGTATAGGGATAACCCAGATAAGGGCATTTCGCCTGCCTGAATGAACTAGTTGTGCCAGGAACATGTACTAGGGGATACGGTCGACTCGTTCGGTTCGACCACGGACCAACTATACCCTCTACCACCCCAAACATAACAAAAATATCCTAGTTTTGAAGAAGATTTGTAAAGTAATGATATATTTGTGAATATTTTTTATTGCAGATACGGAGATGAAGCAGGGAGAGCGACTAACGAAGGGCTTGGCGCAGCAGGGCATGCGATGGGAACGGCGTGGGCTGTGTTGAAGATAAGAAAGGCTCTAAATCCCAAGAGTGCGTTCAAGCCCACCACTCTTGTCAAGGCAGCTGCCAAATCTCATTCTTCCAAATAACTATTTCTGATTTTTTTTTTCCCTTCTTTCTTCTTTTCTTTTTGTAATATATTATCCAACCTTATATTTGTGGATTTGATTCAATATTTGGAGTTGGTGATGCCCAATCTTCTTTTGTACATAGAAACTATTTTGGATTAGAGCACAGGTAACTTTGTTTTTGTCGTCTAATTTTTTTCTTGAGCTTATATTTTCAAAATGAGATTAGAAAATTATAAATTAAATAGTAAATCATGCTTAGTAAGAGATTTAGCTAGTTAAGGAGAAGTAATTCTACCACTCATTCAAATTCGATAGTAAAAAGTATAAAGTGGTGGTTTAATAAAATTGTATAATGGTTCATCTTTATCGAGGTTGATATGAAGATATATATATATATATATATATATATATTTATATGTTTTGATATTGAGGAGATAAGGTGTAAATAATTGGAAAAAGTTGAAAAAATAAAAGAAAGTCCGAAGGAGTTGGTTGAAAAAATAATTGAGGGGTTGTTTTTTTATTAATATTTTTTAATTTTTGAGAATAATTATTGAGGGAGTTCAAGTGGCAGAGAAAAAGGATATCTCATCAGATATGGAAGCAGGTTACTTCATTGCAATTTCCCTTAAATTTATTTCGAAAACGATTTTTTTTTTGGCATTCCCACCATCCTTTTGCAGGTGGAATAAGATTTTTTTTTTTTTGTAAATACTCGGACATAATTAGAAAGTCGTCCTCGATTTGAGATAGACTAAAAAGTCGAAAGTTTGAATTTTGCTATACATATTGTTGGTGGTCACCAACAAAAGATTGGAAGTTCGAATTTTTCAGACATATATTGTTAACTAAAAACTACGAGCCTTTTTATGAAGTCTTTTTTTAAGCGTGTATTCTTGACTTTGTTTTATATACTTGATAGATTTGATATAGTTATTTAAGAATAATTATAGTTGTTTGTGTGTGATTGTAAAGGATTTTTTAATTTTAAAATGAAGTACAACTCCAATTATGATGAATAGATCACACCACAAAAATAAATTCAGAGATAACGACTTCTAAGAAATACTTAACTAGATTATTATTATTTTACCTTTTTTTTCGTTTAAATGGAATTTTTTTTTTCAAATAATAACCTTCCCAAATCATCCTAAAAATGACATTCTTTTCATTAGTTTTCTAATAGAAACCACGTTGTACTTTTCTTCTGGTTTAGTAAGTTCAACTTGTGACTTGATATACAAACCACATCCAAATATAAACTATGCAAATCTAAGCTTCTAAATAATTTTAAACTACACGAGGCAAATATATCAAATATCTCAATAACAAATGACATGTTTGAGAAGCGAAAAATTCTTACCTACTAACCGATCATTATGAATCTCTTTACTTACCACCACTGAAAAAATTATTACTTTATCACAAATACATAATGACGATCTCAATCATTAGTAAGAGATTCCTAACTTGGCACGTAGCTAAATGTTATTCTAAAAAGAAAACACCATTTAACCACGACACAAGAAAATATGTCAAAAGATACTAAGCTCCATTTGATCTCCATATTAAAACATTATATATATATATATATATATATATATATATATATAATAAGTGGAGGAAAATTCAAATTCATGATCTTGGTCTGAGGTAGGTACCAATTATCGCTAAGTTAAGCTCACATAGACTAGTTTTAATCCCTGAATTACTGGAAAAGACATTAAAATTAGGGTTCATATTTGTCGATAGTTAAATCTATCGACATGGACCATTGATCTACACTTGACCACCTGTAAGTTTGGAAGCCATTGAATATCTTTGTTTATATGATTCCACTCTCCCTCTAAGAAAAATCAAAATGGAAGCTTTAAATTTGGAGGATCATGTCTTCTCCAACACCATCACTCGATAAAAGGGTCCACTATCCAATATGTATAACACCATGCACGAGCATGAGCAATAGCAAGAGCATCCAAAGATACATACCCAAACCCTCTCTCTCTCTCTCTCTCTCTCTCTCTCTCTCTCTCTCTCTAACTCATGCATATGCTTTTTCTCTCACTAAATCATAGACCATAATATATATCTTACCAACCCATATTAATTACCCATTTCTTTTCTTCTTTTTCTTTTCCTCTCAACCCAAACCTCATTTAATCCTTATAATATATGTGGCTGATGAACATTATAACTACCAAATTAATCCTTGGCTTTAACATTATGTGGAGAGGCATATATATGGCATTGTGTGTGTGTTTATCTCATTAACATAATTACCTAACTCTCCATATAAAATATCACTTACAAGGAATGATTGGGGCGCCAAAAAGAGGAAAATAACAAAGCTTTGTCTAAAAAAACAAATAAGAAAAGAAGTAAATAGCTCAGTTTTGAGAGTTGTTCGTCATTATTATTTTTTCATTTTTTTTAGTATAACATGTAGGAGTGGGAGATTAAACTGACAACAACTTCTTGATTTGAGATATATGTCAATTATTGACTCTCTTTGCTGAATTATGCTCGTTTTGTAAATTTAATATGTATTTTTTAATATGTTACCAACCTTTTTTTTCAAATATAGCATAAATTTGACTTTTCTCACTGTCTCTTATATTTCTTTCATCTGGATTTAAGTTTGATTTCGACTATATATATGTATATATTTTTTTTTTGGTAGAATTTTATACTTCATAGTATATTTAAAAACAAAAATGATATTTTTGTAAATGCCTCTTAATTATTTTAATCATAACCAACCACTTTTAATACGAGATTTGTTAAATTAAAAAATAAATTGTTGAGAAATTACACATTGTAGAATATATTTAAAAAAAATGTAACCAACTTTCTATTTTGTTTTCAAATATAGCATAAATTTGAATTTTCTTAACATCTTATTTTCCATCTGAGTTTAAGTTTGATTTGAAGACTATATTATTTTTTTTTTTTGTAGAATTTTATACTTCATATTATATTTTAAAATAAAAATAATATTTAGGTAAATACCTCTTATTTATTTTAATCATTACTTCTAACTAACAACTTTTCAACATGACTTAAAAAAACAAGAGGAAGCTTGATTTCAAAAAAAAAACGTGGAATAGAAATTGATTTTAAATATTCTTTTAGTTCTTCCTCTTTTGTTGAATTTCCAAGGTATGGAGAATTATTTTAACTACTTCTTTTAAGGAGAAAAAGAAAGGAAAAAAAAATTGCATAAGAGAATATATATATATGTATATATGTGTGTGATAAAACGAATCCTAGAAACTAAAGAGGGCAAAATGAAGAAACAGAAGATGCTTAATCCAACCTTCCAACAAGATAGCCAAAATGAGTAACATCAAAAAGATTAAAAGGAGATCTTCTAATATAATCTAATCTAATCTAATCTAATAAACATATAAAGAGAGAGAGATAGAGGCCTTTTTGAGAAAGATTATTTTATCCGAATCAATCTTTTCAAATGATCTTATTATCTTTTCTGTTAAAGTCGAGACTCTGATTCATCTCACAAATACTAAACCAAAAAAATAGAAATAAAAGAGAGAGATCTAACCAACCTAAACATCGTACTTGAATAAGTATTAATAAAAGAAAGTTCAGAAAAAAAAAAAAAGAAAATTTTATTAAATGAAGCCGCTACCTAATAACCTTTCAATATACATTCAAAACTTTTCATACTCCTTGATAACTACTAGATATAGATTCGAGGTACTTGTACAGTTTATGTGACGTTCGAGTAGAGAAGAGAGGTACGTGAATGAACTGACACCACATCTGAATGAGAGAGATCCTGAAATCATAGAAGAATGGTCAAGAAAAACTTAAAAGAATGGATAGTTACTACCTATACCAACAAGGTGCATATTCTTTTTCGATAACTAATCATAAAAACTTCAAAGTTAAGTATGCGGTGACTTCCGCATATGAGTGAAATAGGTGCCGAATCTGAATTCTGGGTCCGGGACGTTACAGTTTACCTATCCTAAATTTAACGCAATTCATTCATTAATTAGTTCTTTTTCTTTTAGAAAATAGGATGAGAAAGGAAAAAAGAAGGAAAAAAAAAAGGAAATTATGAACGTAAGGTTAAGCATGTGATGTGGTGAGAAGAGAGAGAAAAGTGTGGGTCCCGCCGCCGCAACCGCGCACATGAGGGCTACGTCGGATGGGTGCCACCTAACCTACCGCCCCAAGAAGAGAGGAGTTGGTACCGTGTCGGACGCTGACGTTTGATGTGCCTTCTTTTCCTCTTTTGCCCCTACTTTCACTTCTTAATTACCATCTCTACCCCCAACCACCATTTTCCAAATCCTCCTCTCTTTTCTTTTTCCATTTTCTACAAAACTAAATATCGTTTATGTATTTCTTTATCTTAGTTAAGTTTTTATTGTCTTAAGTCATTATATTAAACATATTTTGTAGATCCATATATATTAAAAAAAATTTTGTTTACTTAAAACCTTATTAAAATAAGTAGATATCAATTACAGCTGAACTATGTTTATGTTGACGATTTAACATGTCTTATTCGACTTTATATTGCTCCATGTCATAAATATTATATTGTCCACCAGCTTTTATATTTATATTTTTTAAGATGATTTTTAAATATTTTATTTTGATCTTCTTTTTTTTTTAAGATTCTTATCAGTAAATTTTTATTTTGTACTTAACAAAATAAATAAAATGACTACTTGTTACGTGTGACTTAAAATACAAATCTTTCTATGTAATATGAGGTAAATTTTTGGTTCAAATTTTGCCTATAAAAAATTAGGAACCAAAACAAAAGGTTAAAAATGCAACAATTGATTTTTAAAACCTTGTTACGATATTTAGGACATATTCAATAATCTTTTTTTTTTTCCTTTTAAATATAAACTTGCATACTTTAACCATGAGAAAGAGAGGAAAATATATCACTAAAAAATATTTATTTCTTAAAAAAAACGACATGGTTATCTACCGAAACTTTGATTAATTCAGATTAAGAATAGTGAATCATGAAATAAACAAATAATTAAATTATAATTTTTTTAAAAATTTTAATTTCATCTTCTGCTATAATAAAAAATTAACCATTACTGACTATGCCAATAACAAATCAACTCAACATCAATAATACGCTAGCTAACATCAGCATCGTATTAATTTTCTACCCCATTTAACTACTAGAGTGAACAGATTAAAGTTTAAAACGTATAAAACAAAATCGACTCAAATAAGACAGAAAATGTGAATTAAGTTAGAAATTTGGAAGAGTTAAGAAAGTCTTATAAAACACACATCTTCTTGGGGTGTGGTGTGACATATGGGAGAGTGGGGAGGAAAAAAAATATCTTATGGAAGCTTCTATTGTCTCAACCCAACCTAACCCCTTTAGAAAAAGAGAGAACAAAAAGGGTGAAAGAGTTGAAAAAGTGACTCTTTTTTAGGCCCATCATCAAATTTCTCATTCATTCATCTAATCATACATTTATTTTTATTTTCTATTTCAAATATTATTATTATTTTGCTTTGGTTGCTCATGGCCATTTTGTGTCTTGTTGTTTGCTTTTGAGGTATGGAAGTTCATATCTTTTAAGCTTTATAAATAGATCCCTTTTTTTTTTCTTTCAAAAAATGAAAGAAAGAAGAAGTTGTTCTAACCTAATATGAAAAATAAATGTTTTGATGATGATTTTGTTCTTGAAAATGTAACTTTTTTTTTGTTGTGAAATGTTTGTTTAATCCAAAACTTTTTTGAAATCCCAATCAAACTACAAAAGAGTAGATTTTCAATATTCTCTTTTGGATGCTTTTTAAAATTAGTTGTATCTCTAAGAAGTGAAGACTAAACCAACATAAATTTTATTTAAAAGCATGATAGTTACTAGCAAAGCCTAATATTTTGATACAATCCTCAATTTTGTCCTCAACTTTCCATTATTCCATTTTAGTTCCTATATTTTCAAATTTTTTTGTTTTGGTTCGCGGCAAAATTATTATTTCCTTCGAACTTCATGACTAAAATAAATATTTATAATACCAAAATATGATGTACTTGAAAGTTCAGGGAACAAACTGAACTTTAAACAAATTTCAATTCAACGTCGTTATGTAATAATAAATTGATCTTACAAGAAGGCAATCAAGCTAAAAACTGCACACACAATTAAATCATCTGACCCATCTAAACATAAATATAGTTAGTGAAATCATGGATAAGATTTGGATGGTGGGCATGACTCATCTAATTTGGTCAAAATCAAAGGATGAGACAAAGACCAAAACACAATAATAAGCCTCACAAGAATTTTGGGTAATTTCTATTTGGTCAAATTTGGACAATCCAATTCTCTTACAACACATATACATACACACACACCTTACAATATAGAGTGGTCAATATCATATTAGGTTTTACCTTTTAGGGGAAGTTAGCAAAATTCTAACCCAAGATCAAAAAACATGTAGGGTCATCTTTGAGGGGAAAAAAAAAGGAGAAATTTTGGTGATTTTTTGGATCTAAAATGCAAGTTTTTTGGAGGAGGAGTGGCCTTATTGGTGGAGTTCATTAACTTTGTCAATCTATGAGAAAGATTGCAATAGTCAGTAGTGAGAGAGCATTAATTGCTCTCTATTTCATTGGTTCTAATCCCTAAAATAATCAAAGGGTCACTTTTACATGAAATTGTTTCTCAAATTCCCAAGTCAAACAAGAAATCCATTTAATGGAAAATAAGAGACAAAGCAATATGATGAGTAGCAAGAAAAAGGCACTAGATTCAAGTGGATACATTTTTACAACATGTATTCTTATCCAATTTATCATTATGTAACTAGACAAAATTTAATAGACTTTTATTTTTTAAAAAGAAGAAACAACATACCTACTCTAAACGTCCCATCATTAAATCTACAACTCCTGCAAAAATATCTCAAATAACAAAAAGGACTGAAAATTATTTTTAGCTTCCAAAACTCGTAAAAAAAAAGTGTTCCATTAAGCTATCTATCCCATTTGGACTATTCTTTTTAAGTTTTCATCTCAAAATTTTTTTAAATGGGTAAATAAAAGCTATCTATCTCCCTAATCCTTACCCATATACGATTATGCACTCGAGACTTGAATCTCGATCTCAATCTCGTATAAAGAGAAGATATCATTTTACTTAGCTATTGAAAAGAGGGAGAAAAAATCAAAAAGAGAGAAGAGGTAGTAACAAATTTGAATAGTAAAAAAAAGATATTTGATACGATGAGAAGACATAATTTTTTCTTTTTTTTTTTAGTACAACATGTGTGGGGGTGATGATCGAATTCGCAACCTTTTGGTTGATAACATATGTCAGTTACTATTGAGCTATACTCGTTTTGGCGAGAAGAGAAAATTTGGTGTTGATAAAATTGAGTATATGGGTTTGGAGAACCCGAAACAAAACGTAGATTAGAGTAACTAAATTCGTACTCGAAACCCGGGAACCAAACACATCCTAATCTCTTTTACTATGTGATTTGTGTTTGTGACAAGTAAAAGGGTAAAAGAATTTGAGTGTCAGAAAGTTGTGGTGTAAAAGAGTTACATGATAAGCCAGGAATGGGAAAGGATATATGGAAATAGATATCCAAATTCTAGTGGATATATATGGTAGGTTGAGTCATGATGGAGTAGATATAAATGCTGAGAAGTTTGGTAGAGAAGGATGCTGCTGTGGCTCCCCACAGTTGTTAGTTCCTTCACGCCTTTTTATATTATATTTATTTCATAATTTTCTTTTCTTTCGTTATTCAAAAGTTCGGGTCAGCTTACACGTACTTTGATTAATTGCAGATCAACCACTTGATCTTTCTTATTGCATTTTATTGACAAGGAAACTCATAAAACTATATATGGTTTGAACTTATTCTCGCTAAGCTTTTTACTATTTAGATTGGCATATTTCGTAATCAAACTTCAACTCTCGCGCACACACAAACCAAATAAACCAACACCGAGAAAGAGAGAGAAACAGACCTCTACTGCTTTAACTATGGAAGAGATGGGTCACCCACCACTTCAACTCTCTTCATTTCTCCTCCTCTCACAGCTTATCCATTGCCTTCAATGGAAATTTTTTTAAAAAAATGACATGTAAAGAAGAAAAAGAGAACCCCCTTTTGCAGAAAGTGACAAAAATCAATTATCTTTTTCTCCTCACTAACCCAACTCCAGATTTTCACTTCTTCTAAATTTGGTTTCTTGAGAGTAAAATTTATGGCACTGTTTTGTTCACTCGAATCAGTAGTGCTCCCTTCAGTTCTATTCTTAGCAGGAGGATCTTGCTGTTGCTGCAAAAATTGAAAAGAAATCACGAATCAAGGACTGGTTTTGAATCTGGGAAGTGAAGAGAGGAGACTCATTTAATGCAACTTTCACATTTACAGAGACCTCAAACTGGATTGGCAATTAAATTTCCAAACCCATCAAGAGAAAGATCCTGAAGGGGATCTTGATTCATTCTTCTTTATATCAGTCAGCCAAAATGGGATACAAAAAGAAAGGAAAAGTTTATACTTCTCTACAGAGAAAGGAAAACCTCTGGGGGGCAAAAAAGAAAAGAGAAAAAAAAAAGTTTCAAACTATGTTTCTTCCAACTATGTGGAAAATATTCACTAATTCTTCAGCTGTACTCATAATCATACTATACCAATATGCACTGTGAAATCTTACAAATCAGAGGAAGTGAGAAACTTGGAGAGATTCCAGACTAATATAATTACCAATCTAACTCCTCATTTCCCTGCAAATCAGACACAACCCAATCCCAATCTCACTTCATTTCATCTCCAAGCTTCTGTAATCAAGAATCCCATTCTTCATGCCCAGAAAATCATACCCACTGTTGCTACTGTTGCCACTGGAAGTGCCAATACTGCAACCAATTTTGCAGCTGCAATCTTTACTGTTCTGTAATCCCAAACTACAGGCGAAACAGAGGCTCTTGGCTCCAAGTTTCTCAGCGTGGGGCTGATACGGTGGGCTGATTCTGAGCTCTAAGTTCAAATCTGGACATCGTTCTCGAATTGGGGTTTCTCGTTCTTGAATTTGGGGTTCTCTCTCCGCAGCCGTGGGTTTCTCTTCCACTTTCACATCAGAAGCAGAGAAAGAAATGGTCGTGGAGGCCACTTCCTGAGCAGGTTCGTTGATGGGTCTATGAGTAACAGGGTCGATCCCTCTGTTCAACAGCTTTCTCCTAATATGTGTATTCCAGTAATTCTTAATCTCATTGTCCGTTCTTCCGGGCAATCTCCCAGCTATTAAAGACCACCTATAAACAAAAATCAACCCCCACCCCCAAAATCCCAGAAACCCCATCGGTCAAAAATGCCCAAATACAGAGAAGATTCAGATTCAGAGACGGTTTTCATCATTTCTCTAAAACTTACTTGTTACCCAGAAGGCTATGGAGCTTGATTATCAACTCATCCTCTTCCTCAGTGAAATTCCCGCGCTTAAGGTCAGGGCGGAGGTAGTTAATCCATCGCAATCGACAGCTCTTGCCGCACCGGAGAAGCCCCGCGGCCTTAGGCAGAGAGCGCCAACAGCCCTCCCCATGAGCCCGAATATAAGCGATTAGCCTCTCGTCCTCCTCTTTAGTCCACGCACCCTTGTTCGTATGCGCTTTCTCGCAGCAAGGAGACCTACCCATTGAAACAGAGCCACAAAGGGAGGGAAGAAAAAGAAAAACAACAACAACAACAACAACAGAACCACAAAACCGAAAACCCAGTTTCAGTAATCAGTTTTTCGAGTGGCTGCGTGGTTATGGTTGCTGAAAATGGCGGTTTTGCTTTTCGTGTTGCTGCAGGAACAGTAAGGCCGGCCCTTCTGAGGGATTTGGGCGTACCTTTATAGCCTTTTGACTCTCAGAGAGAGAGAAAATAGAGAGGGAAATTGCTTCTAGATGCGAGTTGGTGAGATAGGTTAGAGGAGAGGGGGAGAAATGGCTTGGCTGGTGCTGCCTTCTCTCTCTCTCTCTCTCTCTCTCTCTCTCTCTCTCTCTCTATTAAGCTTTCAATCATATAATAAAGTTAAAGGGACATTTAAGTATAGGGTGACACTTAGTTTGGTGTCAATTTAAATTGATTATTAAAGTGTATATATTAGGCCAAAGACAAGCCACAATCCCTAACCCACTTTAATTTTTATTTTCTTTTTCTCCAAATCTTCCTTCACTCACCAGACAACATGTACTATAGTGCACATTCACAGCTTATATTCTATATCACATAAGGGATAGGGAACTAACCCCCCATTTTATATTTTGGCTCAATTATTTCCCACACATGCCCCACCCCTCATTGTTTAGTGGCCTTTGCATCCTAGACAAGCAAAAGTGGGAAAAGATTAACCTTTTCTAAGTGGGTTAAGATAATTCATCAACCCATTTTCTAAAATATTATATAGGTGCAAGAAAGATAACCTAGATCGAGCTGCTCGAATCAGACCATCCAACCCGATCAAATTTGATCGGACTCGGTTGAACCAATCTACACGACCAATCCAAGGAAGCTCGACTCCTTATATAAATAAGATCAGGATATGCGTGAGATGTGAAATACGTTCTAAATAACCTACTTTTTGCTAGTATCAACTGAACCCTTTTTTGATTTAGGCATCAGAGTCCATGTGTTAGGCTTGACAAACGCACTAATGTGTAGATCTATTGCGTGTGCAACTATTCATTGGAGCATTCGACGTCAGAGCCCTAATCCAAACCCTACATCGATATAAGAATGAGTTGTGTCCTAACATACAACTTTTATTTAAATGGAGTTTCAATGATTGATCTCTAAGTTGTAAGAATCGTAGGGTCAGTCATGGAGTAAATTTTGTTAATTTTAGGTAGGGATGGTGGGTGCACAAAAGGGAAATTGTGATAAGTGGTTTTGCTATCCTTGTGCAAATAAGTATAGAGATGGTATGGTAGTTGTGGTTCTTTTTCTTTAGGTACACTATCATTCACCAACAGAATAGGGGAGAGGTAGACAAAATTAAATAAACAAATAAAAAAGGTAGGGGAAAAAGGGTGTTTCTAGAAGAGTTTGGAGTTTGGTATGATGATGCAACAAATAGTAAAAAAGATATAATGAATTCTGCCTTGTGCTTGTGGTTGAGGTTGTGTGGCCTTTGGTTCAACTTCCACCTTTTTCTTTTTTTCCTTTCAAAATCCTTCCGTTGCAAGAGAAAGAAAATCTTCGCCGCAGGTACTCAAACCTTCTACTTTTCTACCAAACGATACATATCATAACTAGTTGAACTATGTTCATGTAAACATTCTTTTCCCTCTTCTCACCTTACACGAGTAGTAATTGATGTGAAGCATTTTTTTATAGGTAAGAGGTAAAAAAATGCATTGTTTCTTGGGATTTGGAATAGATCACTGTACTTACTAGAGAGAGTAAGGAAAAAAAAAAAAGAGAGGGCCACTTGTGTAAAGCTTTATATGGTTTCACCTACCATTTTCACCTTTTATTTCCTTTTGTTCTTATGAGCAAAACCCATCAAAACATATCAACTTTACATTACATATTCATATGTAAAAGAGCTTTCATCTTTATTCCCACATTACAACTTGTGCCCTTTTTGGCTTCCAACATCTATCTTTTCTCTTATCCCCCAAGAAAAAAAAATTACTCAATAAAATAATTACAACAATAATAATACAACTTACTAGTTTCCATTAATAATAATAATAATTCAAATAGGGTATGGGCATAAAGTGAATAATTAGTGAGATGAAGCTGTTGCCAAGCTAGGTAGACTGCCTTCCATGGAAACTGGACTTTGCTGTTTGTCTTAATCAGTTAGGTCTAATTTAACAATTAAATTGCATTAAATTAATTCCCTTTTTTTTAAATATATTTAGTCACCACCCCATCATATTATGTCCCTCTCCCAACCACACCTTCTTAACAGAATTCCACTCCCTCACCACCACATGCCATTTCCTATGCTAACAAACAAAAACAACCCATCCCTCTTTTTTTCTTTCTTTCATCGCGAAACTACATGTATCGTGTTCGATATTGAAGGCTCGACCAGAAGATCATCAGCTAGCCTAAGTGCCTAACCAAGAGAGTCGAGTCGAGTCGTCACTATTATTTCTGAAATCTCCTAGATTCAAAATAAGATCTGATGACACAAACCTTAAAAAATGAATAAAAAGTCAAACACATTTTTAAAAAGACCAATGAAGGGAAATTGGAATTGCATTTAGGTGGGTTTGAATATTATTAATGGGAGTAGAGGCAGCACATGAGCACGTGGAAGTCATGTGCAAGAGGTGAGCATTTGAAAAGGACCAATGAAGGTGATCCTCAAAGGCCTTACCTACCTCTTTGGCTGTCCTCCACATGTGGGGCACCTACCCTTCCAAAAGCAAGAATATACATTGGGGACAGGCCCCACCAATGGTAGATAAGGCTTTTAATTTTAGCTTCCTTCTAATTAATGTTTTTTGAATTATGAGTT